TGCCCAAGACTGTACAGCTAGTCGGTGGTAGTGTCAGGAGTCAAACCTCAGGTGCATCAGACCCCAAAGCACATCCTGGTATTTCATAAGAATGACCTGGAAGCATTTAGTAAGTGCACATTCCCACCCCTCACCTCAAACCTACTGAATCACGATGTCACGATGTCTGGTGAGCCCCAGGAAGCTGTATCTTTTTGTTTTGTTTTGTTTTGTTTGATACTGAGGATCGAACTTGGGACCTTATGCTTGCGAAGCAGGTGGCAGAACCACTGAGCTAAATCCTGGCCCTAAGCTGTATTTTTTTTAAAAACAAGTCCCCCAGGTGAAGCTGAGGCCTCCATCCTGAAGACTTGCCCTCATTAGACCACACTGCCTTCCTAGGAAATGGAAAGGCCCTGAGTAGGGAACAATAAACAGCAGCCACTGTCACCGGCCACCTTCCTCCTCGTCAAGCTTACATCATCAATCACCACAGCTGATAGGAACTGAGAGGAGGGCAGAGACAAGGCAGGATGTACAGGGGGTCTTTACTGAAAGACATGCCTGCCCTTCAGGGACAGGCTTCGTGTCACATCCAAGGGGCCCCAGACTGATCAGATCTCCCAGATCTACCTGCCTCACTGCAGGGGAAGAGAAACAAGGCAAAACTGTGGGTGACATGGGACCGGGGATGTGTGTCCCTCTCTCTCGTATCCCAGGATGTCACCATAAGAAAGCTGATCCAAGGCCAGGTATTTAGCTCAGTGGTTCCGCTGCCTGCCTCGAAAGCACAAGGACCCGAGTTTGATCCCCGGTACCAAAAAAAAAAAAAGAAAGCTGATCCAGAGGACTGGTCCTACACCCTTGTCCTACACTCCTGACCTGCCTGTGACTGCAGGTCAAGTGGCGCCTGGTTTGGCCCCTGGAGACAATGGCTCAGGCAGCAGGGCCCTTGAGGATTCGCTCGTTACAGGCAGCAGTGACTCGTCTCCCCTCCGTTCTCTATGCCTCCTCTGGGATGGGACCAGCAGGCCAGGCAGCAGAAGTGTCCAGCTGCCGGGCAGAAGGCCAGCTCGCTAATCAGGCCAAGGTCAGAGGCCGGGCTTCAAATAAGCTCAGTTCCCTGGCCTTGCCCCTCGGGTCACTGAAGGGTCCCCTAAAGCCTGCCACCTGGTCCTAACAGGAAGCGCCCAGAGTGCAGACAGATTAAAACAAATCCAGCACCACTCACAGAAACGGCCACCGGGCGCCCAGCAACAGGCTGTGATTCAGTGCATCTTGGGTTTGAAGGACACCGCATCAGAAGTGACCTCACGGCGCCTAATCAGTTCCAGAAAAGCGCTTTGTTCTTCTGCAGTAAGGTGGGAGATCAAAGCATTTCTTGCTAATCATCATGGAGCATTAATTACTCGTTCAGTAACCCGACCCGGTCAGACCCCGCTCCCAGCCTGCATCCTGGCAGCCTCAATGAGCACTCTTGATCTTTCAACCCAGCCTGCACACGATCGGGAGGAAGCTGCCTGCGAACCTGGGAACCAGAGACCAGGGGTGGCCCGGGCGGCCAGTCTTTCGGTTACTCCTTCCTTTCCTGTTAACTTTTGAACCCCAGCGGCAGGAAACGCAGACACACAGCACCAGCCTCCCCTCCCCCTGCCACGTTTCAGCGGTTCTCACGGAAGCCCTGCAAGGCTCGGGCACAGGCGGGAGAACACCCCGATGCTCCAAGCCATGCGGGCTGGGGGCCCCGGCTGGCCTCTGTGAGCCACCCTGTCCTCGGCAGGACCACGGAGAACCGTCCACCTCTAGCTTCCTCTAAGGAGAGCAATTCATGCACAGAACATGGGGAGTGAAAAGGGAAAGAAGTAAAGAAAAACAAGATGGGTTCTGACACACAGTGGATTATTATTTGACCACACACAAAAAAAGACTGATCTATGCTACATTATGGGAGAACCTCGAAAACACGGTGCTAAGCCAAATAAGCCAAATGCAAAAGGTCACATATTCATTCATGAGTCCATCATAAAAACTGCCCAGAACACAGACCCACGAAGACAGAAAGTGGATGAGTGGTTGCCCAGGCGGTGGGGAGGAAATATTGGGGGGGAGGGGAAATGAGGTTTCTTGTTTCTTTCTCTCTCTCTCTTTTTTTTTTTTTTCTGGTCTTGGTTTGTTTTGTTTTTGAGGCAAGGTCTTGCTATGTACCCCAGGCTGGCCTTAAACTCATTAGATAGCCCAGGTTGGCCTCCAACTATCTTCCTGCCTCAGCCTCCTCAGTGCTAGGATTACAGGGCTGTGTCACCACTCCCAGCTGTTTTTTATTTTGTTTTTTTTCTTGCAGAGTTGAGGATAGAACCTAGGGCCTGGCACATGCCAAGCAAGTGGTCTACCAGTGAGCTACCCCCCAGGCTGACTGATGAGGTTGCTTTCAGAGGGCACAAAAATGACCTAACCGTGGATTAGAAGTGCTGTTAAAAACCGACTGCTCTTCTTCCTCCACCCTCGCCCCTCTCCCACCCAGGCTGAGGCTCCAGGGCTGACCCCTGGCCATGCTGCACTGTGTACCCAGGCCTGGACAAGGCCCCCTTGGCAGGATCTTAGACAAGGACGTGACCCCAGAAGTCAGCTTCTTGTTTCGTCTCTGGAGAGAGGGAGCATGGATTTGGCTTAAAGGGGGAGCAGCCAAACCCCGCAGGGTGGGCTGGGGTCTCTGCAAGGAGATGGGGCATACTGCCACAGGTTCGCTAGGGCCCCCCACACTCTGAGATTACACGGGACAGTGTGGCCTTGTTTTCTTTTGGGCAGTACTAGTACTCAAAGCCTTAGTACTAAGCTACTTCTCCAGGCCTTTTTTTGAGACAGTCTCATAGGTCACTAAATTGCCAAGATTGGGTTTGAACTTGGGATCCTCCTGCCTCAGGCTCCCAGAGTGCTGGGATCATAGCCATGCACCAACACGCCTGGGCCTGAGTCTGTCTTCGCAAAAGCCTGTGTTCTAGTCAGGGCATGGCAGTGCAGGCCTGTAATCTCAGTTACCTGGGAGGCTGAGGCAGGAAGACACCAAGTTCAAGCCCCACTTGGGAAATTTAGCAAGACCATTTCATAAAATAAAATAAAATGGACTGGGGATGGAACTCAGTGGTACAGCCCTTGCCTAGCATGCACAGGGCCCTGGGTTCCACCCCTATTACTACCAAAAACAAAACAAAACAATAAAACAAGCCCGGGTTCTGCAGACCCCAAACATCCCCCAGGGGCAACTCCTCAGCTGGGCAGAGAGCATCGGAGAGGAAAAGCCTTACACAGCTGCCTGGTTTCAGGGTACTGCTTGTGGAAGCATCCATCGCCTGGGCCATGACAAGGAACCCACACCAATGCATGTGGCTGCATCATCCGCCTGTCCCTTGAGCTGGGGACAAGGAGGGGAACACTCTGTCACTCCTTCCTCCACCTATGTTCCCACTAAGCTTCCAAGAGAATTCAACACCTCACAAGTGGTTGCCCTTTTCCCAGGAATTCCACGTTTAGGAATGCAAGACAGTGAGACAATCAGACAGAAGTGAGCCATTTAGAACAGTGCTGCCCTACAGAAATATAAGGGAGTCACATATGTGCTTTTTTGGGGGGGGTTGAGACAGGGTCTTGCTATGTAGTTCAGGATGGCCTTGAACTCACTATGGAGGCCAGCCTAACCTTGAACTCTCAGGGATCCTCCTGCTGCAGCCTCCCAAGCGCTGAGATTACAGACATGGGCCACCATGCCCTTCGGTGTTTTTTTAATGATAGCAAAAAAAGTCTAAAACTAGCAGAATACCCAGCAGGACTGTTTAGGTGACAACTAACTTTATTTTTGGTTTTGGTGCTGGGGTTTAAGCCCAAGGCTAAGCACATGCTCTACCACTGAGCTACAAATACAGCCCTAAACCTGGGTCTCTCGAGGGTTTGCCTGTGTTCCCTCACTTCAGCCCTCACAACTATCTGAGGCAAGGGCCACAAACGCCTTTTTACAAGCAAGGAAAATCAGGTTCAGAAAGCTCACATAAACCAGATGTGGCACCACAGGCCTGTAATGCCAGCACGTGGGAAGCTGAGGCAGGAGGATCCCTTGAGTTCAAGACCCGCCTGAACTACATACAAAAAAGAAAGCTCATGTAAATTGCCCAAGAAAATGGTGAAGTTGAGTGCAGACAAACGCCAATGTATGGTAGGTAGAGGCTGGCTATGTACTTTCTTTTTGTTTCTTTGGTACTGGGGATCGAACTCCGGTCCTTGGGCTTGCGCAGCAGGGGGCGAAACCACTGAGCTAAATCCCTGGCCCTGGCTATGTACTTTCTGCCCCACAACGCTGCGGAGGATGTGTGACAAAACAGCACTGCTCTCCCCGCCTGGCGACATTGGTCTCTCCTGTCCACCGTACCTTCAAGTACTCTGCTCTGTTCTGTAAGTGACCTCACTTCTTAAGGCCCAGTTTCTGTATCTGTGCAAGTCACAGTTGCCTCCCCTGGAGTTGCTGGAGTCTAAACAGACAGGGATGTGGGGGCTGGGCAGGGATTTAATCCCAGTGAGTCTTCACCGATGGAACCATTATTACTCTTCTGAGTATCTCTGTCCTTTCCCCTTTGACTAGACATTTTTATGCTGACCACTGATAAAAGTTACAAAGAGGAAGAAGTTACTTTCCCCAAAAGGGAGGAAAACAGTCTATGGGGCAGCTGGAGGAGAAAGGAGGAAGGAAAGAAGTAAAGAAGAGAGGGAGAGGGAAAATCCACCTACTGACCAAGGTGGGGGACAAGGCGCCTCCATCATTAGCTAACCGACCACCAGGGGGCACTGCTCAATGCCACATCAGCAGCTGGGTAAAAGGAACCCTTAAAAGCCCAAAAACTTGCAATGAACATATCACTGAAAAATGTTGTCTTAACTGGGGAGCCCCCACCAAGAGCTGCAATATTCACTTATAGGAGATGCATAAGGCAGGGGGAGCCGCCTCCCCTGTAACGAGTGTCTCGAAGCTTACTTACCTTTGGAGTCTTCTTTGGCCAACTGACCACAGGGACTCCAGTAACGGCCAGGCTGGGGTCATCCTCTGCATGTTCCTTCAGGACATTCTGTGACAAACAAAGGAGCCACGTTAGCCCAGGGTGAAGGGACGTCTCCCAGGGGCTGGAGGCCGGACGTAACCCACACTCCACAAAATCAGTGCCCACCAGCATCTGCCACTCCATGGAAACTGAGCCACCAGGTTCGAGGGTCCACAGAATACAGAGCAGCCTCTCTCCAGAGAGCCTCCGAGGAGACAGATGGCACACGTCCCTGTGATGTCCACATGTCACCCATGATCACACCGAGGGCGTCTCTCATGCAATGTCACCCATGATCACACCGAGGGCGTCTCTCATGCACACAACCTCACTGACCTCTTGCAGCACCTCATCCTGCTGTGGGCCACAAGTTCACCTGTGTACGCAGGCTCCAGAGCCCAATTCTGCCACGCCTTCCACCTGTGCGCTACGTGTACCCTACCCCCGGTACATGTTTGGTTTGGTTCAGTTTCCTGAGAGAGTCCTGCAATACAGTACCCTCCTGCCTCAGCCTCCAAGGATCTGTGAGGGTATTTCTGACTCTACCAGACTGGGATCTTGTGTGCAGCTGACCTGCAGACCTTGTCCATGTGTGAAATGCAACTCCATTGAGTCATCCTCACTTGTAGCTGAAGTGACCAAGGCTTGGAAAGTCTCAAAAGCCATCGATGTGGCCCCAGACAGGGGAGGTGGAGCTCTGAACCTGCTCTCTGGCACCTCCATCCTGAAGCTACTCAGCCCCAGGACGCAGATACTTCATCCACAGCCCCCAGATGAGAGCCTATGTAAGGACACAGGACTGGCACTGACCTCCCCTGAAGCTTGACTAGGAATTTTTGGATTGTACAAAACCATTTCCTCAGGGACAGTTAAGAATAGTTGGGCTGGCTGTGGAGGTGTACTCTTGTAATCCCAGAACTCAGGAGGCTGAGGCAGGAGGATCACCAGGAGTTCCAGGCCAGCCTGGGCTACACAATTCCTTTGAGGCCAGACTGAGCTACACAGTGAGACCCTGTCTCAAAAAACAAACAAACAAGGGCTGGGGATTTAGCTCAGTAGTTCCGGTGCCTGCCTCGAAAGTGCAAGGTCCCAAGTTCAATCCCCAGTACCAAAAAACAAACAAACAAACAAACAAAAAAGATACAGATATGAGCTATTCTCACCTATTTCCTGCAAACCAGAGCAAGAACGTACTCGGCCACTCCCTCTGCAGAAGGCATTCCTCAGGGTCCCCAATCACAGAGGTCGCTCATAGCCCAAAGCCACCCCCAGCAGGAAACTGCATCACCATTTCACCTTCTCTTAATAGAGGAACCTCACATCCTCCCTCCCATACTGCTGTTTGTTTTTCCAAAGTTTCCTCCTTTGTCCCAAATTCATGGAGCAAAAAAGGGCTTACCAGAAAGATGTCCCATATTTGGCAAAGGTTTTCAATTCCTTCTTATCTACAGGCCCTATAAGGGTGAGCAGGGCCACACCTACCCAGGGCTTCCAATCGCCTGTGCCCAATCCCAGACCCTAGGAGGCTGACAAGGACCCAGGCAGGAAAAACTAGGCAGCAGGGAGTGGCAGGGCTTACAGCTGGAGGTCACAGCCCCATCAGAAGAGGCGGCATACTTAGTTCCAACCTCCTGCCTTTCCAGGGCAAGGAAAGTCCCACCAGAGCTTCACAAGAAATCAAAGCCCCCCCCCCCAATAAATCAAAGGCTCAGAGTTTTACTTGAAATTTCTGCATTTTTAAATGCTGGCGAACTAAACTTTTAAAGAAATCACTGTAAGCCAAACGTACTTGCTGGCTGCTCTCGTCTGCTGTCTACAACCTTGCAAACATGAGTGAACATGGACTGAAAATCATCCTACTTGCCCTATGCTCTTGGAGTTTTCTTTTGAGCTGTTTGAAGATTTCTGCTCATTTCAATATCAGAGCTGGAGCCAATAACTCGAAAGCATTAATGACTGGTTACAAAAAGTTCTTACTGGTATTAGCAAATAATGAATAAATTATAATGATAAATAATTTAAAAGAAAATTTTTAACACAGTCTTGCTAAGTGTACCTCAGGCTGGCCTTGAACTCTTTTTAGTATATGTGCTGCCGAACCAAGCACCTTGAACTCTTGATATAACCCAGGCTGCCTTTGAAGTTGTGCCGATGCTCCTGCTTCAGCCTCCTGAGTGCTGAGATTACAGATGTTGAGGTGGCACACGCCTATAATTCCAGCACTGAGACTGAGGCAGGTCTGTGAGTTTGAGACTAGCCTAGACTATGTAATATGACCCTGCCTCAAAAAACTGCGCGCGCGCGCGCGCGCGCGCGTGTGTGTGTGTGTGTGTGTGTCCCCCTCGGTGGCCACCAGAGGGCACCCGAGGCTCTGGCCCCCTGAGAAGCCTTCTCCGACACCGTGAGCCAGGTGTCGAGCTGGGGTGTCGGGGTGTCCTAGCCGCGCTGGAGGAATCATGTTCCTGGTTCCCCAGGCTGCGGCCGGGCTCCCGCGCACAGACTCAGGGAGGCCCGGACTCCCAGCCTACACGGTTTCCGAAGCGGGGGATGCAGCCTGCGCCGGCCCCTCCGAGAGGACCGCGGCCCTGCTCTGCCAACTCCTCTCCTCAAAGAGCCCCGAGTTAATAGTGGCTCCGGCCCCTGCGCCCCGACCCGGGGTGGGCGACAATAATTAGAAACTCCGTCTACACAGAGACTAAAAACACCACCGCTGCTGTGCTAAGGAGGCAGAGCAAGGAGCAGCTGGCAGGGAGGCGGAGGGGGAGGAGGGCATGGGTGCCGCGCTGCTCCGCTCGGGAGCCCAGCAGCGATGGCGTCCGGCTCGGACGGGGCGCCAGGCCCCATGGGCCCAACCTGCTGCGCTTGCCTGTATCCCCAAGATGTCTGAGTCCTAAGCCCCAGGACTTGGGGGTGCAAGCCCGACACAGAAAAACGGTCTGGGCCAAGGTAAGGGAGCCCCGGCTCAGGGGTGAGCGTGTGCTCGGCGGTGTGTGCGAGACCCTGGATTCCTCCGGGCACCGCTCCACGCGCTCTCACGTGACTCCCGCCGGCCTGTGCTCAGGAACACAGCAGTGGCACTCTCGATCCCGTGCACCCCGTGCATGGAAGGCCCCATGCTAAGGTTTCTCATTCAGGAGCAGTCAGCGGGGTGCGGGCGCCAGAACATTCAGCCTTAAAAGATAACAGCTGGGGGCCGGGGACTTAGCTCAGTGGCACCGCTTGCAAGCGCAAAGTAGTGAGTTCGATCCCCGGTACCAAAACAAAGGGGGACGTAGCTCAGAGAAGAGCACTTGCCTAGGTTCACACCAAAGTGCCACCAAGAAAAAAACAGTCCAGCAAAAACAGATTCAGGGACCCAAGACCTGCTACTGCTGCGTGCGGATGTGTGTGTGTGTTTTGAAGAGTTGGTGGGGCGAGTCCATTATTTCCACAAACTCTCACAAGAGGTCAGCAACCTCCAAAAGTCGTCCAGAGTCCACGGAACAGACCCGTTCACAGGGAAGGGTGGGGGACCCTCTGGGGAGTTCCTGGACCTGGCAGTTTCCACAGTTGGAAACTTCCCTCTCTCTGTGCAGGAAGCTGCTTGCTATCCCAAGAGAGGTGACGGCTCGGGCGGCTGGTTGGTAGTGGGAAGCCGGGATTCCACCCTCCCAGCAGCAAAACATCAAACAAGTGAGGCACCTGGACTCGGGTTTGCACACTGGCTCCCTCTGCTGGTGCCACTGTCAGGCTCCCTGATGTCACCCCTGGTCACTGCGCCCTTCGAGGGCCAGGGAGTCATAATAATAGCTCTTCCATTCTTTCCTTTTCTTTTTGCTTTTTTTTTCTTGCTTTTTTTGAGAAAGGGTCTTGCTATGTAGCTCAGACTGGCCTTGAACTCACATCGATCCTCCTGCCTCAGCCTCCTGAGTGTTGGGATTACAGGGGTGAGCCACCACACCCAAGAGTCTCATTTCTATATCCCAGGAAACATCTGGCTCATTTCCTAGTGAACAAATGAACTATTCACTCCTGAAAAAGAAAGTTAAGTTCGTTCTGCAATCCCAGAAGGCAGCTGGTTCATGGGCCAGTCAGCCTTGCACCTCAGCGCCTCCTCATCGAGCCCGCCTTCCAAGCTGTGACTGGGTGGTCCCCTCACCTTTCAGCGTGCTTTCTTTCTGCCTGGCTAAGCGCTGGCCAAGACGGCGCCCTTGAGCCCCAGGTGGTTACCCCCGACCTGGGACGCCCGCCCACCCGCCAGCCACTGGAGCTGCATGGAGCAGCAAGTCCTGCTGTCCCCAAGGCCAGCAGCAGCACACGGTCCCAGTCACACCTGTGCCCCAGCACACGCGTCCACCCGGGGCCAACCCAAGCCCTGGCCCACCTTCACGCCCTCCAGGAGTGCCTGGGGGTCCTCGATGCCCTCAGGGACACACTTCTTGTTCTCAGGGAGGGACTCGAGCTTCTCCACCAGGGCCTTCAGCCCCTTCAGCTCAAACTCGGTGAGGTGGGTCCACTTGGCAGACACCTCAGTGGCGGGCGAGCCAGTGGGCGTCTTCGGGTAGTCGCCGGGCACGGTGGCCGACTTGACGCTGTCCTCCGACTCGTTCGACAAAGTCCTTTTGAAGAAGTGCGTGGCGGGTGCCTTGGGCTTCTTCCCTGGGGTCTCCTGCTCCTCGGACGGGGTGCCGCCGGGCGAGGCAGGGCCATCAGGGCAAGGCTTGGGCGCCTTCTCCAAGCCATCCCCCTCCTCCTCCTTCTCCCCCTCCTCCTCCTGGGGCTGCTGCTCACAGGACTCCTCCTCCATCTCCAGCCAGGAATCGGACGAGAAGCCGTCTACACTGGCCTTCCGTGGGGCATCTGCAGGGGCCAGGGCAGAAGGCAGGCGGGATGAGCTCGCAGCTGGCGACCCAGCCCCCTGCACAGCCAGACGTAGGTTCCAAGCCCAGCTCGGCCCCTTCCCAGCTGTGTGGCCCCATCAGGCTGCCCCACCGCTCTGAACACACACAAAGCTTTACTGAATGTACAAAAAGAAGGCAAAAGGCCAGGCATGATGGTGCACACCTGTGATTCCAGATACTCAGGAGGCTGAGGCAGGAGGATGGAAAGTTTAGTGTCAACCTGGGCAATTTAGCGAGACCTTGCCTCTAAATAAAATTAAGTTACAGAGAGGTGAATTTGTAGTTTAGCGCTCCCTGGTTTCAATCCCCACAACCACCACCACCAAAAAACAAAACAAAACCAGCATATATTGTATGACACCATTCATTTTAAACATCCTTAATGAAGAAACTGCTATAGATAGAAAGTGGAGGCAGATGGGGTGCCACACACCTGTACCCCAGAACTCTGGGAGGCTGAGTCAGGAGGATCATGAGTTTGAGCCCAGCCTATTCACCTTAATGACTTAGTGAGACCCTATCTCAAAACAAAACAAAAAAAGGACTGGGGATGTAGCTTAGTGCAAAGCCCCTAGATTCCAACCCCAGTACCACAGGAAGGATAAAAAAGGAAAAGAAAAAAGAAAGTGGATTAGTAGTTGCCTCAGGCTGGGGGTCAAGAGGTGAGATAGAGAGAGAGAACAGCTAACTCTACTCGGGAGATGAAAATGTCCTAAAACTGACTGGTGATGGTCGCACATACCTGTGAGTAGACTAAAGACCACTGCACTGTAGGCTTTATATGGACAGCTGTATGGAATGTGAACTCCAATAGAGTGGTTTTTAAAATACAAGGTATAGGGCCAGGGATTTAGCTCAGTGGTTCCGCCACCTGCCTCGAAAGTACAAGGACCTGAGTTCGATCCATACCAAAAAACAAACAAACAAAAAACTATAAGGTATGGTCTGGGGATGTAGTTCAGTGGTAGAGCGCCTGACTAGTATGCACAAGGCCCTGGGGTATCCCCAGCTTCACAAAAGAGAAAAAAAGAAAGAGAAACCAAATGAAAGGAAGAAAAGGAAAGAAAAGAATGGCAAAGTAAATACTTCTCTGAGCTAGCACAGTGATAAACACTTGTCATCCCAGGTACTCAGGAGGCTGAGGCAGGAGGATCACAAATTCAAGCCAAGCCCAGGCAACTTAATGAGATTCTGTCTCAAAAGAAAATGAAAAGGCTGAAGGGGTGATTCAATGGTACAGCACTTGTCTACCATGTGTGAGGCCCTGGGTTCAATCCCCAGTGCTGCAAACGAAACAAAATCAAACCAAAAAACCTTCCTCTGAAGGCTTCTGAGGACTGAACAGGTACTACCAAGCCTACTCCTGGCATGAAAGTAGCATCCAATAAACAAGGGCATCTCCCTGGCATCTCCCCTTCTCCTTGGCAGATGGACCAGAAGCTCCAAGGGCAGAACAGTGAGGAGACAATATAAGCGGGCACCAATTATCTAAACCCTGCCTCAAGAGTTCCTCTCAAGCCCTCGAATGGAATCAGGAACATTCTTCTACTGCCCTAAATATCTGAGCAAGCACATGGACCCTCCCTTCCCAACCAGAACTGCCACAAATGGTCCCCACAGGAGCGTGTAGCTCCTGCAATCACATCAGCTATTCCACATCTTCTGGAGTGTCTCCCATTTCCCCTACTTAGCTGGAAGCCCCGGAAGAGCAGATGGTGGGCTTGGGTATTTTCCAACACCCCAATATCCAATCACCTGAAGAGAACGAGTCTCACAGCAGCCCCCACAAACAGACCTGACTTCCCAATAAAGAGCCCTGCAGCAGCGTTCCTTGGTACCCCAAAGCCTCTCTAGATGGGCTCCAGGAAGGGAGGAGCTTCCTAAGGGGCAGGGCTGGAGACAAAGCACGCGGGCTCTAAGGAGACAGACCAATCTCCGTTTCTGTCCCAGGATGATAAACACGCTGTGACTGACATGTGACTCCAGGGACCCCTCGGTGAGCAGAGGGGAAGAGCATGGCTCTTCCTGTATGTGCTCAACCAGAGCTCATGGTCACGCCACAGGCAACTCCAGGGCAGGCGTCTGTGAGCCAGGGCCAAGGACACAGCTGTGCATGACAGACAGTCCTGGTCACAGGCACCGCCCCCTACACAGCTCTGGTGACCACAGAGGGACAAGAAGACCCAGGACTCCTGCTCTGTGAGATGGTCCTGCTTCAGCAACCTTGCCTGCGAGCAGCTGCTCCGCACACCCTCACTGTCACTGGCTTGGACTGCAAAGGGGCCCTTCTGGGGTCACGAGTTCCTTTTCTTAAACTCTGTTTTAGGTGGAAGGCTGACAAGGACGGCTTCCCCTAAGCCCAGCACCATGGCTCAAAAGAACCCCTCGACCAGGTATGGTGGCACACATCTGTCATCCCAGCATTCTGGGAGGCTGAGGCAGGAGGATGGCAAGTTCAAGCCCACCACAGGCAACTTAGCAAGACTCTGTCTCAAAGTAAAAAATAAGAAAGGGGCTGGAGATACAGTTCAGGGAGAAGGCCCTCGGTTCAATCCCCAATACTCCCCAACTAGGGCCAGGAATTTAGCTCAGTGGTGCTGCCGCCTCCCTTGCCATCCTCCCAGGCCACAAAAACCCCCAAGAACCCTCTGAAGCGAGGCCTGTCCCCAAGCTCCACTTTAGGAAGGGTTTCTGTCCTAGCTGGGCAGCAGGACTGTGGGTTTGGCACAGTCACTCACCAATGAGCATGGACTCTCTCTGGTACTCCTGAGTGAGGTAGGAGCGCTGGGTCACGCAGTACACGTATCTCTCCAGGACATACCAGCACATCTCATAGTAGAAGGGGTACCGGAACTTGGGCTGCACCTGCAAGCGAAGACCAGGCAGCCATGGATCAGCTTCTGGGGGCACGGAGGAGAGGAGGGAGAGAGCGAGGGAGGCTCCTTGGGGTGGGTCACTGTCATCATCTCAGCAAAGGCACAAACGGCAGAGGGAAAGACGGGGGCTGCCCAAGGGGAGCAGGAGGGAGGCGCTGGGAGGAGACGATGCCAGCAGCATGCACGGATGAGGCGGAGGTGGAGGCCTGTGTGAGGGTCCCTGAGCTTCGCACCCAGGAAATGCATGGTCCGCTCTGAGCTTCAGTGAGAGCCAGGGACATAGCGTCTCTTCCCCGACCTGCTGACAGCACTGTGGTACCTGCAGCCGGGGCCTGCCTGATTCCAGCCGCAACAGACACGAGCTCCTCCTAGAACATTTTTGCACACATTCTGCTGTCTCTCCATCAATCTTGAAGAACAGAAATCTACCCCCAAACCTTACCCATTTGCAGACAGGCCAAGAAGCACCCTCCTGCACTCTGGGAAGGAGGCCAGGCCAGGAGCACCAATGGGGTGGGGTGTGGCCTCGTTGACCTTCAGGGGCGGGGCATCAGGCTAGGAGGGCCAATGAGGTGTGGTCCCACCCACCTACAAGGGTGGGGGCTCAGAGGTGTCCACCTCCATCTCCTCCCCCAAACTGCACTACCCATCCTGTATTTCCACCAACGGCTCCCTGGACATAAGTTCGTGGTATGACTGCGACATCCTGCCACTAGGAGATACACATCCAGGTCTGGAGCCACAGACCTCATGGAAATCCCCTCGGGGATTTCTTTTTTATGGTAGTACCGGAGATTGAGCCCAGAGTCTTGACCATATTGGGCAAGTAAGTGCTCTACCACTAAGCTACCTCCCCAGCCTAGCCTCTTTTTTAGTTTTTTAAATTTTGGACAAGGTCTTGCTAAGTCGGTCTAGCTGGCCTCAAACCCGCAGTCCTCCTACCTCAGCCTCCTGAGTGGCCGGGATAACAGGCATAGGCTACCAAACCCGGCACCTTAGCTGTTTTTGTAGGCGAGGAAGTAAAGGTGGAGACAGTGTATACGGCCCCTAAGAAAAGGCCTGAGTTGCAGGGGGATTCCCAAGGGGGCAGTGCAGGGTCTACACAGCCAAAGATGGGAGAAGCAACACCACCAGCCCTGCCACGGAGGTGCATGCTGGCAACTGAATCCTCAGAGGGCCCTGAGGGTGGCCTCTGTCTCCCACCGCGGGGCCTCGCACGTCTGCATGCACACACACACTGGCCTGCTCTCCTACCCTCTGGCCAAGGGCAGAGGAGCCCACCTCACCAGTGCTGTCCCCCAGGAGCTCAGGGAGCTGGAGTCCAGCAAGCACACTCCCCACCCACCTGTCCCAGTCTTTCTGCTGACAATGAAAGGACAGCACTGCACACTTCCGGGACTAAGAATCTGAGCAGCCCTAAACACTCCATTTGCTCTCAGATATATCTTCTGCCATTCTCCACACGCTCACCCAGAAAAGGCTCCCATTCTGCTCTCAGCCCCTCACCCACTCTTGTTAACTTGCTCTGCGGCTTCGATGCCCTTTTCCCAGTGAGGGCCTCAGCCCTCCATGTGGGAATCAGGTCCATCTGCTGTCCCTGCCGCTGGTGGATGGTGAGCTTTGGAATGAGATCATGGCCATCACATGCTTTCCACTCCTTGGGGAGACGCATGGAGTTGGGTCATCATCTAACGTTTTCCTTGGCTCCAGCTACTTTCTCAGAGCCTCAGTCTGAGGGCTGGGACGGTATTGATCTTTGTTCACTTACTGCATCGGTGCCCCCTGGAGCTCTCCAAGGAGAGGGACTTTTCAGCATGAAGCTGACCCTGACCTCCTGTGACAGAGCAGAGCGGGGCTCTGACAACGCCAAGCCTGGAGCTGCAAGCTGAGGAAGAGCTCCTCACTCAATCTGGCAGGAGACATGGCTGGCAAAACTTGGAAGTTCATTTTGACTTTTGAAATTTGTGTAGATGATCCAAGCCACTGTGCGCTCCACCAGCACTGTGATGCCTAAGAATCCTAATAAATTAGCGGGGAAAAACGAGGGGTGCTGCATTACAGGAGGGGAAAATAAATAAATCTCTCCTCTTGATGCTGAGCCCAAGGGAAACCAGCCAGGTTAAAACAAATGCTGATGAAGGAATTCAAGTGTTTTTATTTTGTTGTTGTTGTTTTTATTTTTTTTTTTCCAAGAGAGGATGGCAGCAAACAAAATTTGGAAAGAATCGACTTACAAATGGGTTGTCACCTTCCACCCTTCACCTTCAAAATGTTTCAGCCACATGCCTGGGAACATTAAACACATGATTGCTCAATATTATTTGGTGACAAACTTAGAGCCTCATCAAACTGAGTTGTTAACTGACCTCAGGCCGAAACAAAGGGCCAGGCAGTCACACAGCATGCACTGCTCAGGCCCAGTGGGCAGTCAATCTATCAGCGGGTCTCAGAGGTTCCACCTGGGTCCCCATGGCCCATCCGAGTGGCCTCCCTCAGAGCCCAGTGGCCTTTTGAGAGGAGAGCTGAAGGTGTCTCCATATATCTAGAACCCCTGGGTCTCAGGGAGTCGAAGAACTATAATATGAGGGTGGGTGGAAGGGTTTTAAAATTTGTTTTTCTCCTGGAAAAAAAAAAAATTCAATGAGGGGGAAAAAAATCCAAGGGTAGAGGGAAGGGGAGAGGAAGGGGACATTGTTTGCAGTTTCCAAATAGACTCACTGCTGTGCTGGCATTACCTTTGCTGGGGAGACTGCTTTCACTTGAGCCATTAAGGGAGAGAAAAAAAAGTAAGCATAAGACAGGTGGTTTGGTGAGAAAAAAAGTAAGCATAAGACAGGTGGTTTGGTGAGTGATCATTTGGACCATCCCTACCCCTCATCAACCTGTCTCCGTCAGCAGGGATTATTGCGACATTATCTGAAAAGAACAAGCATACAGCACATCCTCCTGGGGGAGCGCCTTCCATTGCTTTTATGAATGGGGAAGATTTCATCTAAGGGGGCTGGAAATCCCCAAGTCCCCATAGCCCTGGACCATGTGGCCAGTGACACTGCAAGGTGAGGTCACCGCCCCTCAGGCCCAGAAAAATTAAAACGGTGACAGCAAGACATGGGTTCCTGATCAGGGAGCATCTCGGGGTTCCCTCGTCTGGATGGAGGTCCCCCACCTGCAGCCATGAAGGCAAATTCCTTTTCTCAGACAAACCCGCCCTGCCAGGGCCTACAGGCTACATTTTCCCCTGCCCCACCTCTTGCGTTTGGTTTCCAAGCAAAGCCATGTTTTAGGACTCTTGGAAAAAAACTATTTTTAAATGGCCGTAACCTTCTTAAGAGAGCTCATGGGGATGCAAAGAATGAAGCTGCAGCACACTGACAAGGAGCCCTGGCACTTTACTGCCTTCCAGGACTCTCTCCCTAGCGCCTTTTGTCTGCCTTGCCTTCTAAGACATAAACAATTGGGCCTTGTAGACAAGCCCCTCTCCAAAGACCAGAAATCAAAGCAGATTAAAATGCCTGCCAGCCCCCGACCCCCATCCAGCTCCTGCTCCAGGGAATCCAGATGGGGTCCCAAGGGGGAAGACGGGTTGTAGGGAGACACTCAGGTTCCCCCACCACCCTGGCCCCTGCCTCAAGCCATGCAGGGAGGGGGCTGGGCTCCTCAGGGAATGACTGGGGCTCAGATCCTCTGGGGTGCAGACTCCCAGGGGAGGGGTCAGTTGCCCAGCAAGTTGCCAGCACCTTCTGAAATCCCTGCTGGGTTCTCCGGCTTTCAGGAATTGGCTGGAAAGTCACAGGCCTGACTTCTCCCTCCCTAGTAATCGCTCCATTTCTAGCCATACCCACTGGTCAGCTTGCAAACAAACTGGCCTGTTCCGAAAGGCCGGCCAAAGAACAGTTGGCCAGAGCTGCAGACGGCACTTGACCCAGACTGAGAGATGACTACTTACATCCCAGCAGTGCTTTTCTCCCAAACAGCACAGGGCACACACTCCACACCAGGGCTGGCCTTTCCAGGCCAGATAGGAGGGCGGGTGGGTAACAAAGAAAGGAGGCAAGTTCACACATCAAGGGCTTTGCACAGGGTCCTGTGCCAGACCTGGGCATTGCAGGAAATGTGAACACAACCTCAGAGCCTGCCCAGCCCGCCCAGCCCACCTGGTGGTCTCCCCAAACCCCGAGCCCAGGCCCCTCAACGGCGGGAATGCTGAAGGGGTCAGACACACATGGCTAAGGCTTTGACTTAGGGGTAAGATTCCATGAAAACCTAGGCCTGAAAACAAGATCACTTGGCCCAGAGCAGCCCCCTGTGAGATGTTTCTCTAGGGCACAAAAGCTCTGCCAGGCAAACCAGGAAGAAAAGGCTCAGTGCATCGTACAACACAGTGTCCAGGCACCGTCCGGGGCTGCGTGAAAGGAGCCAGACAGGAGGCCACGCATTGCAGGATTCCATCATATCACTCGTTCAAAAGAGGCAAATCCAAAGATGGCAAGTAGATTGGGGGTGCAGGGCCAGGGAGAGGGGGGCACTGGGAGTTAAGGAGCACAGGGTTTCTTTCAGGAGTAACGAAAATGTTCTGGAGTTATGCTGATGGTTACACAATTTTATGAATATACTAAAACCCATTGAACTGTCTGCTTCAAATGGTAAACCTTATAAGATATGAATTATAGGGCTGGGGATTTAGCTCAGTCCCACCGCACCTGCCTCGCAAGTGCAAGGTCCCGAGTTCGATCCCTGGTACCAAAATAAATAAATAAATAAATAACCATTTAAACATCTATGTAAAAACAAAGAAGACAAAGGAGGAGAAGAAGAAAGAGGCTTTCTTCGCCCCAGAGCTCCAGTTTCTGACCCCTGAAGCTGTCTCAGGGGCCTGGGGACACTTGGGGAATCCCCAGTGTGGGAAAGTTCCCAGCTCTCCAGGAGAGACTCAGCAGCCAAGAGAAGTGCTCACACTGGCCCTGGAGCTGAGGAGACAATATCACTGTCAAGAGCTGGGGGCCACCTCAGCCCTAGCAGACACAGCTGGGCTCCCCTTCAGATTCCAGGACCCCTGGAGAAGGCAAGGCCAAGACCTGACCTCGAGCAGCTGAGCCCTTTCCCGGGCCCCCACTGCCTCCAAACATCAGTAATAACATGAGATCCTCCAACCCCACCGACTCCCTTCTACACACAAGAAGGAGAAGGCCAGGTTCTTGATATGTCACACTGCTTTCTCAAGAGGCGCTTCCTCTTCCTTCTGCGAGGGGGTTTTACCTCTGGCCCGGAGGTGAAGGAAAACTTCCGGGCCTTGCAGGGAGAGCTCTTGTGAGGATTCCCCTCACCCCTTCCTTGCAGAGCCAGGACTAAGGCCCAGCCTGAGGCAGAGCAGGAGGGAGGGGGACTGCAGAGGCTGGGCACAGCGCCAGGAAAGAAGGAGCCTCCTTACCCGGGTTCTGTCCTCGATCTCGTAGATCTGCAGCTGCATGGGCACGTTAAAGCTGTGCAGGATGTTTCCACCGAACACCAGGGAGTCTACAGGGGTGTAGACTGCATGGATCCAACCTGGGGGTGAGCAAAGGGGAGGTGAGACACTGGCCCTGGGGCCCCCTAACTCTAAAGGGTGGAGCCAAGGAAAGGGAGTGCAGGAGGGCACAGGGAGCTGGGGCTCAGGATGCCCGATGCAGAGAGCCAAGAATCCTGGTATCTCCCCCCACCCCGCAACTCCAGCAGAGTGATGGAAGCTGCACAGCCCCCACCCTGAGGACGCTGATGACCAAGCCTTCCTCCTGGGACCCAGATGGAGCCACCAATGGAGAAACGGGCCCTCTCCATGCTGGCCCGGGAGCTGGAGACCACCCTCCCGGGCGGCACACCCATATCAACATCCCCGAGAGCAGCAGTCTCCGGGATCACAAAGGATAGCCTTTGCTGTGACTAGGGAGTGCCGTCTTGCCAGAGGCACAGGACCCAACTCTGGTCATTAATCCTCCCGGGCCCATTTCCAGGCAGTCTCGGCCACACCATGCCTGCGTCCCACTCAGCTCTACTGCTCTGTGTTGCAGGCCAAGGGGATGGACACCTCTCTCCTACACACGGCAGCTTCTCCAAAGCAGGGGACCATGATTTCCCTCTCCTTGGGATCGCAGACCACAGCCCAGCACAGGCACTGAGGGAAGGACACTGGGGTGCTCCCCTTTCATCATTACAAGAGCTTTCCAGGGCTCGGCTCACTGATACTCACAGAAGCCCTAAAGTAGATGATACATTACATTCAAGCCCAATTTACAGATGAGGGACCGAGGCATGGACAAGCGAATCACCTATCAGGATTCTGCTTCCTGGAAGTCAGCCTGGGGAGTCCACGAAGGCTAGGGACGAAGAAAGCCACCCCCTTGATTCAGTAAGAACAACCAGGCCTCAGCTCAGACTGGCTGCAGGGCAAGCGCCTGAGTGACCCACAACAGGATGCAGACAGAGAGCTCCATACCAACTCCAATTTACAGACACAAAACCGAGGCTCCGGGGAGGTGAGCCATGCGCTAGATGAAGTCGCAGTTGGCAAGGGAAGGCAGCTCTGTTTTTAGCTGCGACTGAACTGCCCCAGAGTCCCAGGGGACAAGCCTGGAAACACGCAAGGGAGGCAAAAAGAGAAACGATGAGAAATAAGGGACAGAAGCAAAGACAAGGACAGAGTCAGAGAAACTCAAAGTAGAAGGCAGAGGAGGGCTGGCCAGAGGGGAGGAGGCAGAGAGGGTGGAAGGGCAGCAGCGTTGTAAGAAGCCTCTTCTCCCGCCCATGTGTCTAATTTTGCTCTAAGGAAAACTGCAGAGGCCCAGCCCACCTCCCCCAAGCCCCAGCGGTCCCAGCCGCCTTCCCCTGGAGAGCTGAGACACACCAGCCTGAGTCACAGGCAGCCACCGCTGCCGTGTGCATTGCAGCCACCGGGAGGAGCACAGAGAGGCTGACCCACTACTGGGGGCACCCAGCCTCGGGCCTCCCTGCTGTGGGCAGAGCTGGCCGGCCTCAGGGGACAAGGGTAACATGGTCACTAAGAGCCCACCGCCTGCAGACAGGAACAGAAGCTTTGCTTTTTTAAGCTTGTTCTGCTTTCTGCTCCCCAGTGTCTGGCTTGGGCCATCAGAGGCCACTGTGAGCGAGCGATGTGGAGCCACCTGGGCAAAAAGACAATGTCTGCAGCCTTTGGCCTTTAACGAGTGCGGCTTCCCTTGCTCTCAGTCTTCCGCCTCTGCTGCCTTCGGGCTGAGCCTCGCCTCGAGCAACCACATTTCTGTTTCCACGGAGCAGGGCTCGGCTGCTGTCTGGTATCTGAAGTCATCATCACATCAGGATCATTCAGCAACACTTCCCAGGATGGGCTGGGGACCGCCCAGGTCTCAAGGCCCTGTCCTCACCCTTCTTCCAGCGGCCACCGCCCAAGCCCAGGAGCCTGGCTTCAAGGCTGTCCCCAGCACTGACGGCTGAGTGTCAGGGAGCATTTGAGGGTCCCCTCTCCCAGCCTCACTGTGTCCGCCTGACCTGAAGGAAACCACTCCCTCCCTGCGGGGAACTTGGTGAGCAAGAAGTCCATCAATCCAAGCAATGGCCACTAAGATGGGCGGTGGTCTCATGGATCTCCGGGGTTTGGGAAAGGACGGTGGCTCCATAAACCCACATTTATCAACTCCCTGCTCTCTTGGCAAGTCACCACCACATGGACACATCTGCCTTCCATCTGTCACCCCCACGAGTGAGCAGAGAGGGAAACAGGAGAGCTGCTGCTGCAAGCAGACATTAGAGGGATTCTAGAAGCTTCTCCCGCCGTCCTTTCTGCTGCAGGGTTGCACCGGTGGGTTGGGCAGCCTCCCCAACCAGCTGACCTGGGCTCCATCCAACACCTAACATCACACCTGCACCATGCTCAGAAAGACCAGGGAGGGGTACCAGAGCACCCTCAAGTCTCACCGAGCGTCTCCAGTCCACAGCCATCAGCAACAGGAAGGCAGTAGAGGTAGGCTATTGAGGCCAGGCCAAGAGGGACGCATGCAGGCACAGAAGCAGAGCTGCGACCCACAAGACCTACTGCTGAGGTCATCTCTGGGACCCCAGGGGCTGAGCAGGGCAACAGAGGCATCCAGAGCCTCACGGGTAACCCAGATGCCGAGGGTTCCGAGTCCAGAGGGCCCCTCTCCTCACATCTGCCCCATCTCTGCGGCTGCTGCAGGGAGGACCTCACAGGCTTCTGTCATGAGCATCCCCCAGCCTTGTACGGGGCCAGGCTGGGCAGGCACTGGACTGTGGACAGGAAGCAAGGACAGCCTCTCTGCAGGACCTCACCCCAGCAGGTGAGCTTCGGGCTATCCCAGATCCAGGGCGTGTTTAATTCGATTCACCTCATGGTACAAAATGGAGAATTTCTCCCAAAGTCACACAGCCAGGAAGTCCTGTAAGGCCCAGGTCTCCTGGATCCCAGGCTAATAGGGAACCAGACGATGGCCTGGGGAAGAGGGCTCTGAATCCAGGCACACTTGTGTTCTCACTCTACTTACTATGCAACTTACTATGGGAGGGACCCTAGGTGTCAGGTACCATCGTTCTTTTTATTTTTTTGATATTCTGAGACAGGGTCTGGCTATGTAGTTCAGGCTGGCCTTCAACTCACTATGTAGCCTGGGATCACAGGGGTGCGCCACCACACCTGGCTTCCATCATTCTTTTTTTCGGTACCAGGGATCGAACTCGGGACTTTGCGCTTGCGAGGCAGGCAGCAGAACCATCATTCTTTTTAAAAGGGTGGAGGTGGGCCAGGGATTTAGCTCAGTGTTTCAGCCGCGTGCCTTGCAAGCGCAAGATCCTGAGTTCTTACTGGGCTGAAAGCCAGCACCCCTGGGCTCTCCATGCTCCTGACCCTGACTCTCACTTCCTCTACCACATCTAGGGCTACCTGGCTCAGCAGGACAAACCCAAGCCCCTATTTCTAGTCACTCTACTCCTTCTCAGTCACCTTCAACAGTACAGCTTTCCTAGACCGCCCAGGACCAAGGCCTGAAGAACCCTCGCCCCGAACCACAGCCCCTGCACCTTCACAGGCAAGAAGAAGAAGTTAAGCCACACCTTACAAAACTAATGTGTCATTTAAGATCTTCCTAACCCAGCAGCTTCCCGTGAGCCTCCAGAGACCTGCCAGAGACTCTCGGAGAGGCAGATGGGGAGATCTGACGGCAGGGTGAGGTGGGAGGGGACGTGTCAAAGTCACACCCGGTCTCAGGTGGGAAACACTAGCACTAGATTCTCCGATGCAGAAAAACTCTCAATGGGCAGCTACAAATCCTTCCTGGCTTCCCCAAAGCCACCAGCTACCTGCCTCAAATCATAGACACATGGAGGGGGCCTTCCCTGCAGCTCAGAGGTGGTGGACACTGGAGAGGACCCCAAGTCCCTCAGATGACCCAAAACATTCGTCTAGGTCTGTAGAGTCCAAAGCTCCAGACTTTGAGTTTTCACTGGTTAGTGAGCAACAGAATGAGAAAAATATAAACATGATGTAGATATTCATGTGCTGCCCTGCCCATGGCAGTGGCACACACCTAGAATCCCAGTCACTGGGAGGCTGAGGCAGGAGGATTACAAGTTAGGGCCAAGGGCTGGGGATGTAGCTCAGTGGCACTGCACCTGCCTCAGAAGCACAAGATCCTGAGTTTGATCCCCAGTACCAAAAACAAAAAAAGTTTTGAACAACTTGGAGGCCAGCCTGGCCTACATAAGTTTGAGGCCACCTGGACTACATAGCAAGATCCTGTCTCAAAAAACCAAGAGAAGCTGAGTGTGCTGGCACATACCTGTTATCCCAGCATTCTGGGAGGCTGAGGCAGGAGGACTGCCGAGAGTTCGAGGCCAGGCTGGGCTACATAGTAAGCTGAAGGCCAGACTGAATTACATAGCGAGACCCTGTCCCATTAAAAAAAAAAAATCCAAAGGGAAGAAGGAAAGGAGAGAGGGAGGGAAGAAGAAGAAAGAACTGTCCTTTATTCTGAAATTTATTCCTGTAGGCACTGCTCATCCACGGCCTCTGCATCTACACGGTCAACCAACTACAGATCAAAAACATCTGGTCTAGGGCTGGGGATTTAGCTCAGTGGTTCCAGCGCCTGCCTTGCAAGCGCAAGGTTCCAGTTAGATCCCCAGTACCAAAAAAACCAAAAAAACAAAAAAACAAAAAACGTCTGGTCTGGAGAAGAACAGTATCTATACCGAACATCACAGGTTTTGTTTTCTTGTCATTCCCTAAGTACAGTATAACAAGTATTTACACAGGATTTATATGAGTTAGGTGTTACAAGTCACATAGAGATGGATGTTGGAAAGGGGTGCAGGAACCAACCTCCTGGGGTGTGGCTGTATGTACAGCTGTCCACCATCAGGACAGTCATCAAACAGCAGTGCTAAATGATGGTTTTTTTTCTTGGTTCTTTTTTTTTTTAAGACAGGGCCTCACTATGGAGTCCCGATTGGCCTCAAACTCAGGACAATTCTCCTGCCTCGGCCTCCCTGCTGGGATCACAGGTGTATGCCACCACCGCCAGCTTCTTGGTTCTTGCTTGTTTGTTTGTTTTGTGATATTTACCACTGAGCTACAGCCTCAGCCTCTTGTTTGTAGCATCCATCTTTAGTGAAATTCTATATTGTAACTCTGTCCATTCCCAGCTTTCCTCAGTGTGGGGCTGGGGTGCAGCTCTGCAGCAGAACACTCGAATGCTGTTTCCCAAGCTCCTCGCCAAGCTGCTTTCCCAAGCTTGCGCAGGTCATCAGAGTCACAGCCCACACCCCATGGGGCGTGCAGGGAGCCCCTTCCCAGCTCCAGACAGGGCCCTAAGGGGCTCAAGGGCTGTCTCCAGCGGGCAGCAGTGCAAGGTCAGGGCTTCAGGGCCTTGAGGGTCCCAGACATCAGTCCCAGCCCGCTCCAAGGCAGGCACACAACTGAGGTGCAGAGAGAGGGAGAGAACCCCAGGTCACAGAGGGAGCCAGCAGCGGGCCTCCCCCTCCTGCCTCCATGCCACACCCGAAGAGTGGCACCACATGCTGCCACTGAGTCCCTTCCTGCCGAAGCAGGGGCCCTTCTCTTCCCTGAGCCCAGCAGACTCAAGGAATGACCTGGGGCCACAGCGACAAAGTCACCCCAGCTAAACCCCCAGTCTTCCAGCAGGACCGTGTCTCCTCTGCTCAGCTTTCTAGGAGAGGCCTGACAGCGGACGAGCCCGAGGTGGGTACAGCTACCGCATCCTGGTCTTCTACGGACACCGCACATCCAGGCCCAAGGCCATGGCTCAGAAGCCTACGTGTGGCAACTTCTCCACCCAAAGGATAGTGGTGACCTCAAAGTATATCAGTCCGAGCTTCCACCCAGGGGCAGGTTCTCTGAAACTGCTTGGACACACCCGCATCTATCCGCTTGTATCCTCCAGTGATGAGCAGCTCACTACCTAGCAGAGCGAGTCATGCCAATGCCACTTGGGTGTACTCTTCCTCCAGGAAGCAATCTTCTACCCTGCTAACTGCAGCCACCTTACATCCCCTTACCAGGTGCCACAGCCCAGTATTCCCTCCAAACTCCTCTCACCTGAGGTGGTTTCCAGACTCTTCTCTCTCTGGCTCAACTGCCTCTCCTAAGTATAAAACAAGCAAGAGGTATACAACTCCCACGTGTGGCCTGACCTCTTTGTGCTCTAGATAGCAAGACTGTCACCTCCCTCATCCTGGGGAGAATGCTTCCATTAATATAGCCTAAAACCAAAAGGAAAAAAAAAATATATATATATATGGCCTAAGACCAACCTCCCTGACTCCTGGGTCATTGGCCATATCCATGAGTGACTCAGCCTGTAACCCTGGAGGTCTCACTCCAAATTTACAGGAAAGAATACTCACTGGGCAAGGTGTCAGACACTGGTAATCCCAGCACTCAGGAGGCTGAGGTAGGAGGATTGCTTCAAATTCAAGGCCAGCCTGGGCTACACAGTGAGTTAGTTGAAGGCCACCCTGAACTACACAGTGAGACTGTCTCAAAAAACCAAACACTGAATACACAGGGGCGGGGCGGAACAAAGCTGAGGCACAGAGAGGTAAAGTCACAACTCCTAAATAGCAAAGACAGATTTTAGCAGAGGCTGCTCACTGCCTTACCCAAGTTCTTGTGGGGCACCTTGTGGGTAATTATGAGCCCCATCCCCTGTACTCAAAGGATCAGCTTCTCACACAGAAATCTCGGAGCGTGTCCTGGGGGAGCAGGTCTTGGGGAAGGCCTTGAAACTCCCCAGGGGAGGGCCTGAGGCTTTCTCCAAGGGACCAGGCAGGGGTGTGGAGATGCACTTTCTCTCCCGCTGCTGGAGGCTGCACCCCAAGGGGGTCTGCCAATGGCTAGTCCAACCCACCAGGCCCACAGAAACCCACAAGTGACCCCAAAGCCCCACCCTGGCCACAGGGCCCCAGGACATTGCCCAGAAGGGAGGAGGAGCCAGGGGCTGATCAGAGCCAAGCCAGCCTTGAGAAACCTACCAGAAGGGATGAAAAATGTGTAGCCCTGTTTCAGTTCAATTCTTTGGCATCGCTCCACACGGTCTCCCAGAAAGATGTCACTCTGCTTGCCTGACAGCACCCACTCCTCATACAGAGCCAAATTGTGCAGGGTCGGTGGGATCAGCCAAAAGATCTAGGGAGGAAAAGGAGGTGGTCAGCCAGTCTCTGCCCTCTTCAAGGCCCAAAACAAAACAGAGAGACAGCCCCCCCTGGGCATGGAGGGGACAAGAGAGGAGAACCCATCCTCCAGGGTCCCCAAGACCAGGCCAAAGGGGGGCAGGAAGGGCTCCGCCACCTGTAGGGAATCTCCACTCCAGCCAGAACACTGGGGGAGGAAAACTTCCTGCACCGGCTGGAACATTCCTTCGCCTGAGCCACAGGCGTGTCTGGGACACGGGGAAGGACAGGAAGGGAATTTCCTAAGTTGTATGATAAAATGGCCCAATAAACAAACCCAGCTTTTGCTGGAGAAGGAGGAAAAACATCTGGAATCAAGCAGGTTGACTTCCTCCCAGAAACTCTACCAACATACTCGTTTAAAACAAGCGTGCATGTAGACCCAGCAGACAGGGTGGCTGGCACACAGGGACTTATAAGAAGGGCCTATCCATGCAGGGACACCTACGGCCCCACAGGAACATGCACCCCAATACAGACACTGCAGAAGCGCCCCAAGCACACACCCCGCCTCCCTTCTGGAGTGATTCCCCCATCCTGTGTATCTTGGAGGCAGGTGGTGCTGGTAACTGGACTTCGAAGTAAAAAGTCCCAGTGCCAGCACTGAGATGACAGCCAGGGGCGACCCATGGAGCCAGACCCAGCTTCAAAGTGGCCTAAGGTGCTTAGAACACTTGACTGCACAAGTGGGTGTCAGTGGGTGAGATGTGATGCAAAATAGTTGACCTTGACCTTTGCCCCCTGGAGGCTGACAGCCAGGAGGGGCCGCAGGGGATGGAGTGGCCTGAAAGGGCAGGGCTGGCAGGAGCAGGAGGGAGAGGAAGAGAAGGCCCCTCCAGGCATAAAGAGCCAGAAAAGCATCGAAATTTGGAGATCCAAGTAGAACTCACCTTCCCTCCCCGGAACACATGGTACCACACAGAAGTGCCTCCGAAGTCGATGTGGAAGTCAGTGAAACAGCCCTTCACACTCATCAGACAGTACCTGCGGCAGAGAAGGAGGAGGGGGTACAGCAACTCAGGACCAACTGCAGGAGCGAGCAGGACAAACGCTTCAGCGGCCTCCAACTTGGTGCCCTTTTATAAACGATTACACTGGGGGATTTTCTTTTTCTAAAAATCCAAATCTAGTCGCAGAGTTCCCCTCCCGGAATCACGGGATGCCCCTGTGATCGGGCAACAATTTCAAGAAGCTGAGCTTCTTGATTTGGGTTCCCAACAGAGTGGCAGCCAACAGGCCCTGGGGTTCCTTTCTACTCCCGCCCACCCCCATCCAACTCGGAGGCTTTCTCACTGCTCCTTCACAGCTCTGATACTCAGTTCTCCCAAGCTGCCAGGCCCGTCTGGAGCAGCTGGGCCCCCTGGAATTCAGTTGTAAACCACCAGTGTAGCTTGCCAATTACCAGTCCCCATTCACCTCACTCATTCAACCAGTGGTCCAGAGCTAGGCACAGCAGGAAGAGAAACACACTCGGGCATATGTCCCCTGCCCTGGCCCATGAGACCGTTGGTAAAAGTTAAATGACAAGATCCACAATCGATCACCAAGTAAGAAGCAGGATCAGCCCCCAAAAACCACACAGAGTAAGATTCCACCTGTACGAAATGTCCAAATCCAGAGGGAGAGCAGCAAAGAGATGAATGGCGGCCAGGGGCTGGGGTGGGGGATGGGAGGGATGCTACCGAGGGCACAGGTTCATTCTGGGGTGATGGGAATGTCCCCAAATGGACTGTGGTTGCACCACTCTGGATGTACTAAAAACCACCGGATTGCACACTTTCCAGAGGTGAATGATACGGGAATTATGCCCATAAAGCTGTCAAAATTGAAGGGATTAAGAGAAGAGCAGGGGGTGTTGCTAGGCAGGGAGGGGAGAGGCTGGGGCGGAGGTTGTGACTGGGGAAGGACCCCGAAGCTCCCCTTCCTTCTGAACGCCAACAAGAGCCAGAGCCACCCTTTCAAGGCAGGAACACGGGGCGCACACACACACACACACCACCCCCCCGCCTCCTCCTCTTGTGCTGCCTTCCTCTGGGGGGGGCAGAGCTTGGGGAGGGGGTACAGAGCAGGATTCCAAGTCCAGGCCCGGCAGACAACAGTAGCAGCCCCCCCCCAGCCACTCTCCCCCTCCCACAAGAGCTCCAGGTGGCAGAAACGGGGCGGCATCCCCACCGCTCATGCCCATGCAGCTTGGTACCTCCAGAGACCCGTGCACACACGCTTACCCACTGACCTCTTTTCCCTGCTGCACTTTGCCTTTCCGTGGTTTGGGGAAGAGAGGAGGAATGGGGTGGGACGGGTAGGGAGGAGCCAGCCAGAGTGGAGAGAGTGGGGGGCAGGCACCCTGAGCAGGTGGGAAGGCGGGAGGGCTCCAGGCCCCTCCTTCTGGCTGGCTTTTGCACCTTGCGTTCAGGTGGACCTGGGGCTCGGCAGTATGCAGGCAGCGTGCCCGGCGTCCCTCCTCTGGATAGGCTGGGAGAAGCCTTAACCATGTGTCTGCAGGCGGCTGACAAATCAGAAGGCCTTCCCGTACATCCGAGGCCCGCTGCCTAGCAACCCCATCGGAGGGGTGTAGTTGACAGCCCAGGACGCAGGCTGTCACGAAGCTGGCACCGGGGCTGCTGAAGTCCTGACTCCGGCTGCACACCCTCCCCACCGTCCGCCCTGGGCCAGCCCAGCTGGGTCCCCGACTGAAAGCCTGGGATATCTTCTCTTCTCCGAGGAATGGGGGGTCCTGAAGCCCTCGCCCACCCCACCCCCATGGACCGCACTGGCCTCTTCTAAGCACCACTTCAAAATATTAGTCCCCATTCTCCTAAACCACCTCTCTGTCTTGATTTGGTTTTTTTCTTTTCTTTTTTTAATCTAACCTTGGTTTCCACCCCCTCCAGGCCTCTGCTGATCGCGGTGTAGGGTAAACAATTTCAGTGTGTGTGGGGCGGAGCCAGAGGTGCTTCCTTCAGCCTGCAGCTGAATGCCGCTGGGCACTCACAGCAGCGAGGACTGGAAGGGAGCTTGGCGGCCTCACCGAACCGGTCACTGTCACTCAGCCCACCCTCCAGCCCCCTGACCCATGTCCCCCACATGTGGAAGACAGGATCCCCCGGCTGCTGTGTGCTGGGAAAGTTCTCCAAGTTGACCTGTATCTGATCTGCCCTCGGGTCACCCTCTATCATCCACGGAGGGCCGCTGGGGGGCTGGGGAAGCCACTTTCAGACGCGCCTCTCCAGAAGTGGCCCCTCCTCCTAGGTCCCTCATTTCCTGGCCGCCAGGCCCGGGCTGCCCCTCCCACCCAGCAATTGATTGCAGGCATTAGGGCAGCCAAGGTGGCTGTGACGGGGCGGCTTTGTCCCAGTCCCTGCAGCCAGCGGGCCACCCCAGGCTCCCGACCCCGTGGTCTGGGGCTCCCCGTTCGCTCCTGTCCGCTCTGGCGTGACGCCTTTGCACTGACCTCTACAGCTTCCTCTTCCCAAGCACACCGCAGTCACATGGGCACCCCGGCTCTGTGCCTCGGCCGCTAAGCTCTCCCCGCCAGCCGCCCGCCACCCACCGCCCAGCTTCCGCAGCGGCGGGGGGGGGGGCTGCCCGGACATCCACGCCATCGACACCCCTCGGCCCAGGTGGCGTCTGCGTAGGAGGGCTCCCTCCAAGTTGGCAGCTCGAGATCGAGAGCCTCCAGCTGGGCCCTAGAGGGGTTCCCACCCTCCAAGGCTGGGCTGGCTGGGAGGAGCGAGATAGGAGGGGGCGCTGCACCTGCGCCACCAACTTTGGGGTGCTGCCTGGGGTCGGCGGAGGCGGGGCAGCTCCATCCCTCCATTCCTCTCCAACTTGGAGAAACTACCCCTGGGTGGCCCAGCCAGCGCCCCCTCGGGCAAAGGTCCTGCAGGGCCCCCCCGGAAAGGTGGCACCCGGTGGCGGGCTGGACTCACCGCGCGGGTGCGAACGCACACCCTCCACGCTGCCACCCGCCCCGGGGACACAAAGAGCTGCTTGACGACGCCGGCGGCGGCCGTGCACCCACACCCCGCCCGCGCGCCACAAAGAGCCCGCGGTTACCCTCGGCGGCGGCGCTCCCGGGCGTCCCCTTCGGCGGCCGAGGCTTGACGCGCGCCCGGGCCGGGCCGAAGACGCGGGGGACCTCGCACGCTGCCTTCCTTCCTGGGAGAGCCGGGCGCAGCCTGCGCTCATCCCCGCGCTGAAACTGAACACCGGCGCGGGGCCGCGGGGAGGCGGAGGGAGGCCGCGGCGGTGGCTGCGCTGCGAAGCGAAGCGCACGGGCCCGCGCCAGGGTGCGCCGCCGCCCCCACCGCCCGCGGCCGGCCCCTCGCCCCTCGCCGCGGTAGGTGGCGGCTCGAAGGGAGTTCTCCCCACCCCCGCTCTCCAGGCGACCGCTTGGGAACCGCGGCGCCCGAAGTTTCCCGGGGTGTGGACGCCACCCTGCTGCTGGGGGTGCCGACCCAGCAGAGCCGCCTTCCCGAAATGTGCCTGGCACAGCTTAAGGAAGGACCGCTGCTAGGAGTTAGGGCGAGTGTCAGGTCCCAGTGTGACAGGCAAGAAAGGCAGGATGGAGCTCACCCTAAGACACGAGCGGTGTGGCCTTGGGCAACTTACTTCCCCTCTCTGAGCCACTTCCTGGTCCCTCCTAACACCGAGGGAGGTGACCTGAAGTTCAACTCTGCGAGCTCTGAGGCTCTCCAGCTGCCCCTCCCCTGCTTGGCCCCGTAGTAGCCTAGCAGCCTGGCACCGGGAAGAACTGGGAATTCACTGAGATAAGAACCCGTGCGTCAGACGACGACACTTGCATTACTGAGTCCAAACTTGGCGCCCACCCTCTCATTTCATTCCTAGGGTTGTCCCCATTTTTCAGACCAGAAAGCCGAGGCTCAGAGGTAGAGCTCCTCACTCTGGTCACTGGGCTATGACGTGGCAGTGCTTACCTGTCACTGCTTGAATCTCTTGGCCCTTCTTCCTGATCTACTTGGCAAATTCCAAGTCTAATAAAGAGGGCAGACATCACAGACAAGCCTCAAACACTGACTTCCGGCTGAAGAAGGTGATGCAGCCAGAATCACAATTCCCAACCCTCCAGGTCACTGGGTCACTGCCTGCCCCACCCTGTCCCCACAGCCTCCCCAAACCACAAGGGGGCAGGAGACTCCTATGGCCTCTGCAGGGGCAGCAGTAACCACACTTCTCCATTCTTTCGTCAAACATTTTTCACCAGCGATGCCCAGCCATATTAATTAATAGGTTTCAAATTATTCAAGTCTTGGTAATAACAGCTGTTTCCACGCCTAAGCTCATTTCGCCCTCTGAACACAGTCTGACCAGCCCCAGGTTAAAATGCAAACCCCGAAGCCCCCCTCAATGCCCTGGGGACAGTGTTGCTTCTGATCTCATTTATGGCAAAGCCCACTCATTAGCACCTTCCAGGGGTCTGCCGGTGAGGCCAGACTGGAGCTCTTTGGAACTGGTTGGGTTTCTTGGCAGGTGCCTGCTTTGCCTATTTAACAGAAAATTAACAAGCCAAGGAGTGTTCTCTCTTAGCTTTTTTTTAAACAGGGTCTCTCTATGTAGTTCAGGCTGGCCTTGAACTATGGAGTCCAGGCTGGGCTCAAAATCAAAGTGATCCTCCTGCTTCAGCCTCCTGAGTGCTGGAATCACAGACATGTGCCACCACACCCAGCCTTTTTTCTCTATTTCAAGGTAGAGAGGTGAGGAGGAAAAGCTAGGAACCCAAAGGGCAGGGGTCTGGCACACACTCCATGACTTCCTCTCTGTGGGCCCCTGGCAGCCTCATAGGCCAGCGCCCCTGTGTGATGTGAGACATGAAGATCACTGCTGATGCCAGCAAACGGGGGGCGGGGTGGGGGGACTGGACGAAGGGAATCAGCATTACTGTGGTTGTAGAGAAAAACTATGCATCAGGAGTGGTGGCACATACCTGTGATACCAGCACTCAGGAGGCTGAGGCAGGAGGAGCACCTTTGAGTTTGAGGCCAGCCTGACCATAAGGAGACCATGTCTCAACCCCCCCCACACACAGAAAAAAGTTCTATGCAAATTGGAAGCAGGGCAGGAAAAAAAGCAGAATTTCAACGCATCACATAGGCAGCCTCTGGTCCTACGAGGGGACTGAGCTCCTCATTTCACATGCGCTGTGTGCTCCACCATCCCCGCTCCATGCCAGGATAGGGGTGACAACACCCACTATGCAGAAGGCAACACTGAGTCTCCAAAAGGAGACAAAATTTTTGTCTGGAGCCAGGGAAAGGCAGAGAGAAGGCCCCTGAGACTTGCTGCCCATTTTTATTTTCATTTATTTATTTATTTTTGTTTTCTTTTCTTTAGGGACAGGGTCTTGCTATGTCCGTTCAGGCTGGCCTGGAACTCATTATGTAGCCCAGGTTGAACTTGAAGTTATCCTCACACCTCAGCCTCCCAAGTATTGGGATTACAGGTGTGCACCACCATGCTCAGGTTCCAATGTCCATTTTTATTCTCTTTGTTTCAGTCTCTCATTCTAATATTTTCCCTCAGTTTTCCTGCCATGCCTGTAGAATGAAAAAAAAACGTGGAGAAAAATGTACTCAACTTTGAATTATTTAGGACCCAAATATACGTGTTATGTGAGGTCCTGAGGTCCCGCTTTCTGCTGGGTTTCCGGCTCTGGTGCTGCTTGCAGGCCTACTGTGTAACTTCATCACACTAGCACACCTCACTTCTACAAACCCTGGTCCCACAGGAGCAGCAGAGGGGAGGAGTCCCACTGATCCCTTTCTGGAATGCATTACAATGGCCTATCCTCCTTAGTGAAAAAGCCACACACATCTCAGACCTAGGGGATCCCAGAGGCTTTGAAACAAGTCCAAAACTTCTGTGATGCTCCTCCCTGCAAGAGCAGGCCTGGGCTGGGAATGTAGCTCTGGGTGGGGCACTTGTCTAACATGCACAAGGCCTGGGGTTCCCTCCTCAGTACTGCAAAACACACGGGTAAAGCTACATTCGTGTCCTTAAGTATGGGTTGGACTAATTGACAGAATACAAAAGAAGCAAACGGTACGGATTCAAAATTAGGTCATAAAAGGCGCTGTGTCCTTCTCCTTGGTCTTTCTCAAACCACTCTGGAGAGCCAGCTGCCAGGTCATGAGGACGCTTACACGCCCCTGTGGAGAGGCCCAAGTGGTGAGGAACTGAGGCCTCCTGCCAACAGCCACTGGATGTGCTGTCTCAGAAGAGGATCCTCCAAGCCTGCCTGGTTCAGCCTCGGCCCGAATGCAAGCTCCTGAGGTACCAAGAGCCAGAACCACCCAGCTAAGCCACCTGCAGATCCCTGACCTACAGAAACTGAGACAATCTTTATTGCTTTAAACTGCTAAAATTTTGCCAGGCACAGTGGCCCATGCCTATAATCCCAGCACTCAGGACGATGAGAGAAGAGGACCACTGCTGAGTCTGAGGCCATCCTGGTCTGCACAGCAAGACCCTGACTTAACCCCCCAACACTCCCAAATAAATAAAATAAAAATTGAGCTACTGAAATAATTTTCTTAGGCTGTGAAGTTTGAGGGTAATGGTTAGGCAGCGATAAAAAACAAACGCAGGGATACTCCTAAGTGTCACTGTTCAGGCAGGTATACGGAATTTCCCCAGAGAAACAATTCTGCACAGAGCATTTCTGAAGAATAGAGATGGAGGGGTAAGGGGCAATGGCAGAAACACAGGATGACTTTGGTTTCAGTGAGCCCATGCCTGTCATTCCCCTTCCCTTCATTCTGCTTTCTGTTTCTTTGAGATACTTAGCACTAAATTATATCATTCCCTTGTTTGTTTACCTGTTTCCTCACCACAATATAAGCTCCAGGAGAGAGGGATGTGGCTTTATTCACTTCAGTCTACCAACTATTTAGTGCGGTGTCTTTCACCAGAAGATAACTAATACCTTAACATACTCTTTATAAATCTTTTGTCTCCCGTGAAGTTGCAACTAACCCCTTTCCCTCAACTTAAGTATCTCAGCTGAAACCCATTAAAATTCCTAACCCCCTGACCACCACGGAACAACATAAATCCCAGATCTAGGGGAAGCCCTGGGACTGTCACACTCTGCACCACACTGGAGGCCTTCAGATGCAGGAGGCCATCGGCTGCCTCTGCTTCATAGGCGCCTCCAGCAAGGAAGTGTGGTGATTTCTAGAAACAATGTCATTTTAATTAAATTCCACAGAACCTGTCAGGGGTCCCAGAGGACCCCATCAGGGTGGGATTTGTTACCTGGCTTATGAATATTTGAATCAACATTCTTTTCAGATGAACAAATGGACTGTTTCTGAGGTGACAGTTTCCTTCCTAATGTGGTTCAAATCCCAGAACAAGTTCCTGCAGCCATGGGTGGAGTTTGTAAATCTATTTGCCACGAAGGTGACCAATATCTCAGACACACCCCTAGAAAACAGGGCATGAACCCTATTTTTTGGTAATTAAAGAAGACTCTAAATGGAGCTTTGAGTAATGAGAAAAGATCTTTACAACGTAATGGAATCTTCCAATAAAGGGCAGGAGACACTGAGTATCTTACAAAGGCAAGGTGGACTGTAATTAATTGATATCTGCATCACCCAGTGCTATTTTCCCCAAATACGGCTCCTCTGCCTGCCTCTCCTCTCTCTGCCCTCTTTCTCCATCTCGCTGGCCTCAGCCTGCTCTTCCTGTCTGCTGCCCCACTCCCTTCAATCCGCACAGCAGGAGGATTTGCCCAGTGAAAACCTGAACACATTGTATTGCATAAAAAAAGCTTCCAACAGTTCTTCTGGGAAACTGGAGTGTCAGCCTCCCTAGTCCTCTCCACCTAAAGCAAAGGGCCCTTGGGACCCCAGCTCGGAGCCCATCCCTGACCTTCCTGACCAGGTGAGGCCCTGGTACCAGCACAAAGTACCACAGACCAGTGGGTGGTGGCCTCTTCCCAGCTGCCATCTTTCTGTCATTACTGGATTACCATCTGTCTCCATCGACTGTACTCTGTGGGGGTGGGGACGGCTCAGCCACACACACCCCGCCCATATTGCGAGTGCCAAGCACCAATGAGATGCTTAGAACAGAGTTGCTGAATGAATGAATGAGTCCATGAGACATGATTTCCCCCACACCCTCCAACTCCATCCTCGAGTACTTCCCTTCCTCCATCCCTCCCCATGTCCTCTCATTTCTTCTGTCATCTAAAGCCCAGGTTAAATGTCCCCTCCTGGTGGCACCAGCCCGAGATTCTTCCAGTCCCTGCCTCCCCAGCTCCATGTGTCTCCCTCTGACCAGATCAGAGCCCAGTTCTGGCCTGTGATTCTCCAGTGGGTGGGGCCTTTAGTCTTGTTCATCCGCTCACCTCCCCATCCCAGGGGCTCTGAACGTTTTCCTGTGATCAAATCAGAACAGAGCAGAACTGGAAGCAATGCCTGCTCCCCGCCCCGCCCACCTGGAGCGGGATCTTTGCCTTTGATGCAGCCCAGATCCAAGGGCTGCACGGAGGTTCAGCTTGGGGGGAAGGAAAATGTCTATGAAGTAATTAAACAGAGAGAGAGGCTGAAAGCAAAACCCTGAGAAACCCAAAGCCAGCACGGCCTCCCTTACAAAGCCTGGCACGCAGTCTGTATTCAATATGCACTGAATAGAGGGCCAGGGAATGGGAAGTTCACAGCCCGGAAGCTCCCGGGGCACTGCTGGCAGCTGGGCCAGCAGAGCTACTAACCGACCCCAAGCTGCTGCCCCCAGCTCTTTTGGGAAGCGCAGAGCAGTTGCCCTCCCTGGGACAGCCAGTGTCTCATTTCCTCTTTTAGAAAACCTAAGCGGAGAGCCAGGGATTTAGCTCAGTGGTTCTGCCACCTGCCTTGTGAGCGCAAGGACCCGAGTTCGATCCCTGGTACCAAAAAGAGGGCCCTAGACAGTGGGAGTCCCAAGGGTGACTTCCTGCTCCTGGGGATCCAGACAGGCCCGCACCTGCCTCTGCCCAGGCTGAGCCATTGTCCCAGGTCAGGACGGCCATGCTCCGTGTGGTGAGGGCTCTGCTATGGACCATGGTCATCTCCTGGCCCTGAGCCAACCTCAGGCCTGGAGGGGACCATCTCAGACAATCCTGGTGAGGACACTGACCCACAGGACGCTGACCCTGGGCGTTGTTCAGGATGGGGCATGCTGAGTCAGAGGTCCCAGGTCTCAAGACCCAGGAGCAGAGAGAGGTGACAGCAGTTCCCATCCCTTGTCAAATCAGTGCCCACTGTGGGAGGGGTGCTCTGAAAGTGTCCACTCCCAGGATGTGCTGTCACATGGGCAGAGCAGCTTGAGGTTTTCAACTATGCATAGTATCTCCCCCCTCTGCCTCCTCAGATCATGGCCCCCAAGAGAGCTTTGGGGACACCCCAGGGCCAGTGGCAGGAATCGGAGCCCTGCATTCCTGAGAACAAGATGCCAACAGGCCCGGATCAAGGCCCCATCCCTGAGTCCCTACTGTCCTGCTCAGGCTCAGGCCCTCGGCTCTGAAGGGAGCTGGCTGCAAAGCCACTCAAGCCCATGGGCCAGCCGGGACCCTCTGCCAGCCTCCCCAAGGCCAGGGCCGCCCTCCCCACTCCGTCACCAGCCAGGCAAGCCTTACTTCTTCACTTTGGGGTACTTCATCTCTGCAATGGCATTGGTGGCCTCAGTCTGCTTCTCCTTCAGGTGTTGGGGCCACATGTTGTCGACCCAGTCCACCAGATCCACCTGAAAGTCAGGCCACTGTCAGTGCTTGTGGCCCCCCACTGCCAGACCAGAGCCCAGCATCCCCTCTACCCCAGGGAGTCCCCGGGTGCCTTGAGCTGGACCCCTGCACCCACTGCACCCCTTCCTCCCACCTCAGCCAGCACAAGAGCCCAATATTCTGCCCCCGACAATCCCCCCGGGAGACCAGCATGGCCACACTCCTGTCGGCCACCTAGTTCAAGGGAGAGCCCAGCCCAGAGCCAGGCTGGGGCCTACCACGGTGGGACGCTTGACCAGGTGCTCCAGCTTGGTGTGGCTAAACTCCAGGCTGATGACGTTGTACAGCTTGTCCCGCTGGGCCTCGGGCGTCTCGTAATAGCGCACGAACTGGGACATGCTCATCTCCGTGCCCTTCTGGGTGTTCACGTCCATCACGTCCACCAGTCGCCGGCTCCCTGGAGGCAGAACCCGCACGATGCTCGCTCCTGCCAGCTCACGGCCACCAGAACCACTGGGGATGCCCAGAGCGACACCGGCTCGCCAGTGTCTTGCTTCTAGTGCACATCTCCTCTATGATCTTCCTGGCCTGACCTCTCTCCGCCCTGTCTGTCCCCCTCCACACTGTGGCAGTCCACTGTCACCGCTCTCCTGAGGGGGCGCTGGGCTGCCCCTGCCACTCGCACACCTGACATTGCCGGGCCAGCTTTCCGAATGGCCCTGACCATCCACGCTCCCGTCTCTGCCAGAGCCTTCCACGGCCCCCTCCACCTAACAAACCCCTCAGTGTGGCACGAAGGGCCTCTCAGTGTGCAGTCACAGCAACAGGACAGGGATTAGGGCTGGAGAAAACCCAGCCACTTAGCAGCCTCCCTCCCTAGTCTGTGAAGCCAGCGAAGTTACACGGCTTCCTTGACCCTCTGGGTCTTCATCCTGCCGGCTCTTCTGGTCAGGCTGGCCAGGAGCAAAAAACCACACAACAACGTCTGACACGTGGACAGGAGCCCCTCATGCCCTGGCGCCGATCACGATCGACAGTCTGCTGCTGTCTTTCTTCCCTGCCACTCTGTAAGCACAGGGAGGGCAGCCTCCTGTCTGCCGGGCTCGCTCCCTACCAGCACCAGGAATAGGTCTGCCATGCATAGAGGCTCAGCGGATGCCTGTGGGACCCTCCAAAAGTGAATGTGCAGCATCCCGTCCAGGATGGGACGAATGACTCTTCCGTAGCAGCAGAGGACTCTGCACCACCTCAGCACAGGGTGGTGGTGCACACCTGTGATCCCAGCACTCAGGAGGCTGAGGCAGGAAGAGTACTACAAGTTCAAGGCCGGCCTGAGGCACATAGCAAGACTCTGTCTCAAAACAAAAACACAACCCAGAAGTCTACACCTTTCTCCAAGTCCCTGAGAAAAGGGAACCAGAACCTTCCGGGGCAGCCCTGGAGCCCCTGGGAGCAACCCTCAAGGGGATCTCCGCCCTTCCTGGGGCTCTGTTTGCTCATCTGTGAAATGGGAATGATGGTGTCTCGGCCAAGGGGAAAGGGCCGACAAGCGAGGCGAAGTGCTTTGAAATGGGAGAAAAGAGACACAAAGCTGACTGCCAAGTTCGGGGTGATTTATGGAGGAAGCTGGCACCTCCTGTGCGTCACACTCAAAATGAGCATGGTGACTGCCATGGGAAACGCCATCTGGTCTGGAAAGACCCCAGCTCCCCGGTGGCTCAGTGGCAAATACACAGTTCGTGGAGACTCAGAAACCCTAAACAGCAACAACACAAAAGCAGGTGACCCCTTATTCACAGTGACCCCGAGAGGTTATGGGCAGAGTCACTAGGGGTCAGCAAATGACAGCCCCAGGCCCAACCCAGCCCATGGGCTGAGAATAAGCATGATTTTGACATTTCTAAATGCGAGGGTAGAAATCAAGAAAAAATCTTTTGCAGTATGAAAATCACATGCAGTTTCGATCTGCAGCCAGGTCCACAGGGGAAGTCTGTTCACAAGTGGCCCCGTTCCCTGGTTTCCAAGCACGGCAACCACAGAGCCTGGCCTGAGATGTTTACTCTCACCGCTTCACGGAGAAAGTCCTCGGCTTCACACTTCTCTTGGTAAACTTGGATGCCCAGATGGGCTGGGAAGCTCATCCCCCAGCCCCACTCTGGTACAGAGCCTGCCTTAGGACAGGCCAGGGTCAATATTTGTTGAATAAATAAGCACAGTGTCTTTCATAGAGCAGGAGCTGAATAACGAAAGTAATGAAAGTGTCCCCTTAAGCATGCAAGAGAACATGGGGTTCTTATCTTTTGGGTTCAAGTTGGGTTTTTTGTATCTTCTTGTTTGTTTGTCTGTTTTGAAGTACTGGGAATTGAGCCCAAGGGCTTTGCACTGAGCTACATTCCCATCCCTTTTTCATGACTGAAACCACAATTCTCTATTATTTTTTTTTTTTAGGTACCGGGGATCGAACTTGGGTCTTTGCGCTTGCGCAGCAGGCGGTGAAACCACTGAGCTAAATCCCCAGGTCCAATTCTCTATTGATATAAATAAATGAATAACTTAAAGATCTGGTGATGGTTGCCAGGAGTGGTGGTACACACCTACAGTCCCAGCACTCGGGAGGCTGAGGCAGGAAGAGCACTGTGGGCTGCAGGCCACCCTGGGCTACATCGTGAGCTCAAGGCCAGCCTGAACTAGATAGCAAGACACTGTCTCAACCCCTCCCCACACACACACCAAACGAAAGAAATTTGGTGAGGAACAGCTAAGAATTTCAAAGAATCTACCCACAATTTATAAATTACAAAATTGAAAAGAATAAAATGGAAGATTCTGCCAAAAATTATTTGAACCTTGTAATAAACATTATTTATAATGAAAAAAGGTCAAAATTGTTTTGTCACCTAAAAAGGAAAAGGAAAAGTGTTCGGACCTTTCTGGCAGAACAGTACAGAAGGCTTCACAAATGAGCACGTCACCCCCTTGCCTTGAATGGGGACCATGCTAATCTTCTCTATGCTGTCCCATCTTAGCATACGTGCTGCTGAGGCAAGCACCTCAGCACCTTTAAAATATTTTTTATTTTAGGGTCGGGGATTTAGCTCAGTGGTTCCGCTGCCTGCCTCACAAGTGCAAGGTCCCGAGTTTGATCCCCCGTACCAAAAATATAAATATATATATATTTTTTAAGCTGAGCTCAAACTTTGGACCTTCCTGCCTCAGCCTCCCCAGAGTGCTGGGATTACAGGTGTGCACCACCACATCCAGCTTTTGGATTCAAAATCTAATTTTCATAACCCTGGAAGGACTGTGTCTGCTTTGTAAGTGAGGAAACCAAAGCCCAGAGATAAAGTAACTGGCTCAAGTTCCGTGGAACATACTCTTTGGACAGGTTATAAGCATTAACATTTACTGAGCATGCGCACAGCCACATCCTCTCCCCAGCGACCACAGCTCTGGGAGGGTTCACACAGTAGGTGGAGGTGAAACTGAAGCTTGGATCCCTGAGTGAGCCGCAGAGCTGGGATCTGGGTTTTTGTTCCAGACAGGGTCTTGCTATGTAGTTCAGGCTGCCCTCAAACTCACAGTGCTCCTCCTGCCTCAGCCTAGAGCTGGGATTTGAAGCCAATTCAATCAAATGCCAGAACTGGGCTCTCATCCGCCCTGCAGCGCTGCATGTTCTGATCCGGAGCTAGGTAGGGCTCCTAGAAAGAACCCCAGCTTCTGACTGCTGCTCACCCTGGGTCCTGGGAAGCAGAGCACAGAGCAGCAACCTGGTTCTGTGTAGGGAGGGTGCAGATCCACCAGGGGGCGTCCCAGGCCCTTGCTGGACATACCGGCCTGCTCTACCCGGACACCTGGACAACTAGGCTCCCCTCGGGGTTTCGGAGAGGCCTAGAAGCCCCTCCGTGCCTGGCTAGCCTCACAACTCTGCCCACTGCGCAGCCTGGCCTTGCTCAAGGTCAGGTCGAAGAGGGTTGCTGCAGGTAGGAGAGAGCTCAGAGCACAGCACTAAAATTTCACCCACGGAGGCTCCCACAATCAGCACAGCACGCCGAACTCAGCTGTCCCTTCAAGCACCACTCAGAGGTTAAGCTGAGGGTTTGTGGGTTCAAATCCCAGCTGGGCTTCCATCCACAAAGTCCGGCATTATAAAGACATTTTTTTTTTCCAAATATGTTTAATCAGTGGTGGGTTAAATCCGAGGATGTGACCCACAGCACTTGCAGAGTAAGGCAGAGGAAGTGGGGGATCAAACTCAGGATCTTGAACTTGCAAGGCAGGTGCAGTGCCACTGAGCTAAATCCCCGGCTCTCCCCCCCTTTTTGAGGCAGTTTCTCACTCATTAAGTTGACCAGGCTAAGCCCAAACTTTCGGTCCTCCTGGCTCAGCCTCCTAGTCTGCTGGGATTATACACCCAACTTCTTCAAAGTCGCCAAATATTGTTTGTTCTGGGGACCGAAACCAGGACTTTTGGATTGAGCTACATCTCCAGCATCTCACCCGAAGACAAGATCTCCCTATGTAGTCCAGCCTGGCCTTGAACTCACAGTGATCCTCCTGCTTCAGCCGCTTGAATGCTGGGATTACAGGCATATGCCACCATGACCAGCCCAGTTCCTTTTTATTATTTATTTTCTGACAGGGTCTCACTAAATTACTAAATTGCCCAGGCTGGGCTTGAATTTGTGATTCTTCCAGACTCTTTAAAAAATTTTGTTTTGAGGGCCCAGGATTTAGCTCAGTGGTTCCGGCGCCTGCCTCACAAGCACAAGGTCCCAAGTTTGATCCCCAGTACCAAAAAAAAAAAAAAAATTTGTTTTGAGCCAGGTATGGTGGCACACACCTGTAATCCCAGCACTTGGGAGGATGAAGCAGGAGGATCACTGTGAGTTTGAGATCAGCCGGGGCTACACAGTGGGTTCTTTTTTTTTCTGGTATCTGGGATAGAACTCAGGACCTTGCAATTGTGAGTCAGGCATGGTATCACTGAGCCAAATCCCCAGTCCCAACATAGTGAGTTCAAGGCCAACCTGAACTACACAGTGAGTCCCTGTCTCAGAAAATAAATAAATAGAGACAGGGTCTCTAAAGTGTCCAGAGTGGCCTCAAACTTGTGATTCTCCATGGGCATGGTGGCACACACCTATTAGTTTGAGGCCACCCTGGGCTACACAGTGAGTTCAAAACCATCTGGAGGGCCGGGGATTTAGCTCAGTGGTGCCACTGGCTGCCTCACAAATGCAAGGTCCCGAGTTCCATCCCCAGTATCAAAAAAACCTCACAAAACAAAACCAGCTGGACTATAAAGCAAGACCCTGTCCTAAAACACACACACACACACACACACACACACACACACAC